AATTTGACCTCCATCTCTATTTAAGCTTAGCCCAGGGAGCTTGACCTTTGCTAGAGCATTATGGTTTCCAGTTTAGCAGGCGTTGTGCACACCTATGGAATCTTTTCATGGTGACCTAGGCTTTGCTAATGGATCTCCCCAGCCATTGCTGAACCTGATCCTGAGCAGGTTGTTGACTACTTCTGTATTGACCTGTTTTGTTCTTGGACCTGCCTCCTCATCGCCAGCTTTCCTGATGCTCTGGAGTCTTGGCTGAACTTGGCCCAGGTCTCTGTTCCTGCCATATTTCTGTAGTTCAGGTACTGTGGAATGGTCTCTGGAAAGGTGTCCCCTTTGTCTTTGTTTAAAGAGATGAATGAGACCAACCCTGTGGCAGTCCCCAGGCTCCTGCAGAGTAGAACCCATCATCCTTTGCACCCAACAGTGCTCATTGCTCTGACTGCCGTCTCCATCCAGACTATGTCCCTGCATGGGCAAAATAGGAGACAGTGTTCTTAGTGAGGGAAATAGAGTAATGAATTGAACGTTACATACAAGCGTCATTCCCTGGTCCATAGTGCCTTCTCCTTTACCAAGTATAATATTAGACTTTGATCGAGAGGAAATCTGGTATGTATTTGGTGTGGGAATTTTGTGTCACAGCCAGGACTTTCTGCATTACGTAGACCCTTTCTCTGCAAAGATTGAAGGAGAATCATGCAATGACACTCTCTGTATAAAATATATTCCCAAAACCTCAGGACTCTTTCTTGTATTGCTGGAATTCACAATTCTGTTTTTCTTGCACATTAGACTGAGATTCCTCTTGGACAGTCACAAAGTTGCATACAAGACTATGGCAAACCAGAGCCCTCTTAGGACCAGAGCATCAAGTATGGGTAAATGTTTGAGCATTTCAATTATCTCTGCTTTGGAAACTTTATTAAAGCCAAGAGGAAATAAGGACACCAGAGTGGGATAATTCATTAAGCAGTGATGAGCCCAGCACATGACACTTCTCTTCTAGGCTCCCTTTCCCAGAAAAGCTTGGATCAGATGATCCTTTCTGGCCCAACCTGGGGATTTTTGACTCTAAGATTCCACACCTATAGTCTAAGCAGAAATATCCAATAAAATAGAAGGAAGAAAACAAGTTGTGGTGAGGTTTTTAAATGAAGCTCTCTGATATCAAAGGTCTCTGTCCTGCCAAGCTTTATAGCCTTTAATTTTGTAGGTTCTGGCTCCTTCATTGAATGATGCTAGAAGCTATGTTTCCCTCACACCTAAGACAATGTTCCCTTTCATACCGTTGTTTTTCTGAGCACATAAAAATTCTGTTCCCAATATAAGTTAATTCTTACAACAGCTGGAAGAAAGATATTCCCCCCCATCAGTGTGTTTTGGCTTTATTGAGACCCAGACAGCTCTCAGTTACCATCGATTCTGTGTTCAGGATTGTCTTTCATCTATGGAAGCTTTCTACAGAATTAATTCTTGCGGGAAATAGACAATTTGGTTTTCCTGGTGTTCTTGAGCATGAGCTGGACATGGACATGGGATATGTGTGTTTATAGAATCATAGAATCGTTAGGGTTGGAAAGGACCTTAAGATCATCCAGTTCCAACCCCCCTGCTGTGGGCAGGCACACCTTACACTAAATCATATCACCCAAGGCCTCGTCCAACCTGGTCTTGAGCACTGCCAGGGATGGAGCATTCACAACCTCCCTGGGCAACCCATTCCAGTGCCTCACCACCCTCACAGGAAAGAATTTCCTTCTTAGATCCAACCTAAACTTCCCCTGTTTAAGTTTGAACCTGTTACCCCTTGACCTGTTACTACAGTCCCTAATGAAGAGTCCCTCCCCAGCATCCCTATAGGCCCCCTTCAGATACTGGAAGCTGCTCTGAGGTCTCCCCGCAGCCTTCTCTTCTCCAGGCTGAACAGCCCCAGCTTTCTCAGCCTGTCTCCATACAGGAGCTGCTCCAGCCCCTGAGCATCCTCGTGGCCTCCTCTGGACTTGTTCCAACAGTTCCATGTCCTTTTTATGTTGAGGACCCCAGAACTGCACACAATGCTCCAGGTGAGGTCTCACAAGAACAGAGCAGAGGGGCAGGATCACCTCCTTGGACCTGCTGGTCACGCTGCTTTGGATGCAGCCCAGGACACGGTTGGTTTCTGGGTTGTGAGCGCACACTGAAGCCGGCTCATGTTCATTTTCTCATCAACCAACACCCCCAAGTCCTTCTCCTTGGGCTGCTCTGAATCTCTTCTCTGCCCAACCTGTAGCTGGGCCTGGGATTGCTCCGACCCAGGTGCAGGACCTTGCACTTGGCATGGTTAAACCTCATGAGGTTGGCATCAGCCCAGCTCACAAGCGTGTCGAGGTCCCTCTGGATGGCATTCCTTCCCTCCAGGGTATCAACCGAACCACAAAGCTTGGTGTCATCGGCAAACTTGCTGAGGTTGCACTCAATCCCATGTCCATGGCAGCGATGAAGATGTTGAACAAGACCGGTCCCAACACCGATCCCTGAGGGACACCACTCGTTACTGGTCTCCAGCCGGACATTGAGCCACTGACCACAACTCTTTGCGTGCAGCCATCCAGCCAGTTCTTTATCCACCGAGTGGTCCATCCATCAAATTGATGTCTCTCCAATTTAGAGACAAGGATGTCGTGTGGGACAGTGTCGAACGCTTTGCACAAGTCCAGGTAGATGACATCAGCTGCTCTACCCCTGTCCATCGGTTCTGTAGCCCCATCAGAGAAGGCCACCAAATTGGTCAGGCAGGATTTCCCCTTACTGAAGCCAGTGAAGCCAGTGAACCTGGCTGTCACCAAGCACCTTGTTGATTTTCATGTGCCTTAGCATGCCTTCCAAGAGAATCTGCTCCAAGATGTTGCCAGGCACAGAGGTGAGACTGACTGCTCTGTAATTCCCTGGGTCATCCATTTTCCCCTTCCTGAAAACGGGGGTTATATTTCCCTTTTTCCAGTCATGGGGAACTTCACCTGACTGCCATGATTTCTCAAATATGATGGCCAGCGGCTTCGCAACTTCATTCTCCAGCTCCTTCAGGACCCACGAATGGATCTCATCAGGACCCATGGACTTGTGCACGTTCACATTTTTAAGATGGTCTTGAACCAGTTCCTCTCCTACAGTGGGCGCAAGGTCTTCATTCCCACAGTCCCTGCATCTGCCTTCCAAGACTCGGGTGGTTTGGTCAGAGCCTTTGGCAGTGAAGACCGAGGCAAAGAAGTCATTCAGAACCTCAGCCTTCTCCAACTCCCGTGTAGCCAGTTCTCCTGAGAGCTTCCTGAGGGAGCCTACATTCTCCCTTGTCTGTTTTTTATTTGTTATGTACTTGTAGAATCCCTTCCTGTTATCTTTAATACCTCTAGCTAAGTTTAATTCTAACTGGGCCTTAGCTTTCCTAACGTGGTCCCTAGCTTCCCCGATAACATCCCTGTACTCTTCCCATGCCACCTGTCCTTGCTTCCACTTATTATAAGCCTCTTTTTTCATTTGAATTTTCCTCAGGAGCTCCTTATCCATCCAAGGAGGTCTCCTGGCCCTCCTGCTGCACTTCCTTCTGGTTGGGATGCAACACTCCTGAGCTTGCAGCAGGTGATCCTTGAATATCAACCAACAGTCTTGGGCCCCTCTGACCTCTAGGGCTGTATCCCATGGAACCTTCCTAAGCAGGTTCCTGAAGAGGCCAAAGTCTGCTCTTTTTTATCTCCATTTATGGAGTTCCATTTATGTCACCATTTAGGTAAAAGGTCATTTCAGATGAATGTAAAACACCCCTTAAAGGGAATGAGAGGATCCTTTGATGTGCTCAAATTGTCCTTCACAGTGGGTGGTCTCAGCACAGTTCATCACCATGTATTATGAATTATATTGCTGTGTCAGTGACACCAGATAATGGTCCATGGTGAAACACACAAAAATAGAAAAGTACTGTTTGTTCGTGGTGGCTCCTCCCCGGAAAGTCCTCCTTTGGCTCCTCTCTGGAAGATCCCGCTTTGCCTGATCCCTGGAAAAGTCCCAACCCTGGGAGACCTTTCTAGATATTGCTGGCCACTTCTCCCAATGGAGGCTGGACGCCTACATCAGAATGAGTGCACATTCTTGCTAGTACAAAAGCCAGAGCCTCATGCGATGCAGGGAGGCAGAACCTCATACTACCAGGTCAGTGTTGTCTTCGCAGGAACGCCTGCTAAGGTTGAGCCTGCCACCTCGCACTGCAATGACGTTTCTCAGGGCCGGTTTCCTGCTCATCATTACATGGTCTTTGGGGTTGGTAAGATAACCAGCCATCAGGATTATCCTTTATGTATCTTATCTCTATATTTTCCCTGTATTAATAAACTTGCTGTGATTCATTACTGTGTAGCATTTCTCTCAACCCGCAATCCTCAAACACTGGAACAATTGCCTACAATAGCTTTCTTTAAGTGAAATCTCTTGTGAAGCTGCAGCCTGGGGAGGGATTCCCCTTGACATTCAAAAGTGAAGCTGGAGATCTTGATTCCCACCAGCTTCTTCTCTTTGAAAGGCACAAACAAATGCAATGAATCTTTTGAAACCTTTTCTCTGACTCTTTTTCAGCAAGCGAATGTAAAACTACACTTCCTCTTCCCTCCCATCCCAGCAGCTTTAATAAAGAACTCGCAGGTAAGAGGGAGGAATTTTATTGGAGCTGAGGGACAAGGTCAAGAACCTTGTAAGAAAAATAGATATTTATCAGTGACAAAAGCTATAACTGGGTAAAGCTGATTGGTGTTTTCTGTGAGGAAAAGAGGCCTGAGATAATTGAGGGTGATTTCTTCCCGCAGGCTGGTGACTGAGAAGTGAATTGAAATTTGAGGCTTAGTCTTCTTCTGGTTTTCTTCCAAGAATGGTGTGATTCTGGGGGCCTGTTTCTCATTCAATACTGTCATTGACTTTTGTGTAGGAAGTGTGGAAGAATCTGCATCAAATCATGGGGAGTATTGGAAAAAAATGTTTTAGTGTACCATAGGCTTTCTCAGTTGACATGTGCTAGATGATAGAACTTTCTTAGGTTGCCAGGGGTTGAAGAGCCTGCTCCTGCACTTCACCAGAGCCCCCTTCACCTCCTTGTTCCTCAGGCTGTAGATGAATGGGTTAAGCATGGGGGTGATGATGGTATAGATGATGGAGGCGGCCTTATCGCGGCTCCTGTGGCTAGATGGAGGTTGTAGGTACATGAAGAACTTTGTACCAAAGAAGGAGGCAACAGCCATCAAATGGGAGGCGCAGGTGCGGAAGGCTCTGGCCCTGCTCTGTGCTGAGCACATCCTCAGCACGGTGCAGAGGATAGAGATGTAGGAGAGCAGAATGATCATGCTAGTGCCCACCACGTTGATGGTGATGAAGGCAAAGATGAGCATCTCACTGCTGTGAGTGTCAGAGCACATGAGCTTCAGCACAGGAACTTCATCACAGAAGAAGTGGTCGATGCGGTTGGGACCGCAGAAGGAACCTCCAAACGTGCACCATGTGTAGATGATGGCACTCAGGAAGGCGAATAGGTAGGATGTTGCTATCAGCTGCCAGCAGATGTGGCTGGAGATGATGGTAACATAAAGCAGGGGCTGGCAGATAGCAACGTGTCGGTCGTAGGCCATCATGGCCAGGAGGTGACACTCAATAGTACTAAAAAAAGCAAAGGTGAGGAACTGCATCATGCAGCCAGAGAAAGAAATGGTTCTGTCCTCTGATAACAGGTCTGCCAGCATCCTGGGGGAGATGACTGTGGAATAGCAGATGTCAGTGAAGGCAAAATGGGTGAGGAAGAAGTACATGGGGGTGTGGAGGCTGGGAGACACCCGCACCAATGTGATAATGCCAACGTTCCCCACCAAAGTGACAATGTAAATCAATAGAAACAAGACAAAAAGAGGAGTCTGTGCATATGGGCTGTCTGTAATTCCCAACAGGATGAATTTATTCTGGGTGTGATTTCCTCCCATGACCAGGTGTTACCTGCTGAGGCAAAAGGAAGAGAAACGTCAAACTGATCAAAAATGGAGATTCAGATCTGGACCACATCTATCTCCAATCAATGACCACTGTACCTGCCACACATTAGATTATTCTCATATATTTTCTAACCAAAATTATATGCAGATATTATGTTTTTCAGATGAGGTAATCAGAAAAGAACAGGTAGTTTGCTGAAGCAGTGAATGGCATTTGTATTTTTCTGTGGTGGGACAATTAACGCTGGCTTTAGTCAAGCATGTGTGTTTTCAGGTTTGAGCAAAGAATCAGATCTTTATTCACTTTCAATTTGAAGGAAATCTGTGTCAGAAGACACCTCAGAGGATCCTCATAGGGTTGCACGTAAACGTGAAGCAAGAGAATTTGTCAGTCCCAGTGAAAGCCCAGCTTACACATGCATGACCTCCAGACATTTCCCTTTGGTTTTTGATTATCATTCCTGTCACCAAATCACATTTAACAAACTATTTGAGATCATTAACAACAAATAACATTGACTTTGTTAAATTCATGATATGTACCTTCCTGAGCTCCAGCACGATAAAGCATCCTAAACCTAATGGGCATTCAGTTTCTTGCTTTAAAAATGAGTTGCTGTTATAACCAGCTGATTCTAAAGGCTGATTTGTTAGTAACTATATTCTGATGACAATATGAACTGTTGCATTTCTACATAACAGAATAAGATTCATCATTTAACTCTTGAATAAATCAATGTATCTGGCTTAAGCAAAAGAAACACAACCTGCATCAGACATTGCTCCCTATTATTATAAAGAAAACCCACATTGGTAAGGTTGTTTTCTGACAAAGCTTTACCACAGATTACACGAGGACATGCAGAAGCAAGCCCACTGCCTCAATGCAGGTGAGGCTCTGCTTTGTGTTGGTGTTACCTCCTGTGCCTTCCCTCTGCCACCGAGTGATGGGAGCCAAGGATTTATCCCCAACGCAGCAGAGAACATCTACGTGCCAGCATCATCTCTGTTAAGCACCTGATGTGAAGAGAGGTGAGCTCCTGCCAGACTCCAAGAGCCCAGCTTGTGGTGCTGGGGCTGTAAATACAGTTGCATGTGCTCTCCTGGGAGGAAGCCTCCAGGGCTGCTCATGATTTACCACAGGAAAACAAAGAGAAGGAAAAGCAAAGGGTGTGAAATCACCTCTGAAAGGCATTGTGGTGCTTGGGCATCTGAGAGACATGGAGTGGGTGAGCCATGCCTGAGCACAGCTGCACAGCAGCAGTGATGAGCAGCTCATAGGATGCTTCCTACATACTTGTGGACCATGCAAATGTTTTGGTCTGACCATACTGACACAATGAAAATGGGTTTGGAGACATTCCAGATCTTGCACAGGTCCTCAAATGGGACATGAAGCACAAGTGACTCCATCTCTGGAGCTGCTGATGTCCCTCTGTGGAGGGTGAACCCAGTTTTCCAGCCCCAGTGGGGTTACCCACATGTAGTGCCTGGATGTCCAACAGCTGAGCTGGTGCCTCAGGACTCCCACTGTATTCAAGGGTGAAAAACTGGCATTTTGAGGCAGAGAGGAATTGTCCCAGGATGAACTAATAGGCCTTTATCCCCCTGAGCAGCCTCAGCTGGGGCTCCATCCCCACCCTCTTCCTGTTGTTCCCCCATCTCTATTTAAGCTCAGAACAGGCAGATTGAGCTTTACTAGAGGAGTTCTGGTTTCCAGTTTAGTAGGAGCTCAGCACACCTGTGCAATCTTTTGGTGGTCACCTAGGGTTTCTCATCTGTCTTCCTCACAATTTTTTCACCTGATCCTGCACAAGGGACTGGCTGGACCTGACTTGGTTTGGTCTTGAATCTGCCTCCTCATCACCAGCTTTCCTGATGCTCTGGAGCCGTGGTTGAACTTGGCCGAGTTCTCTGTTCCTGCCCTGCTTCACTTGCTCAGGTACCGTGGGATGGTCCCTGCACACCAGGGTGTTCTCCTTTGGTTCTGTTTAGACAGGTAAAGGAGACAAACCCCTGTGGCAGTCCCCAGGCTCCTGCAGAGTAGAACCCATCACCCTCTGCACCTGACAGCCCAGCCAGTGCTCACTGCTCTGGCAGTCATTTTCCATCCAGAACATGTCCCTACCTGAGCAAATTAGGAGGTAGCTTTTCAGTGATGAAAAGTAGAGTAACAAATTGATCCTTACATTCAAGCGTTGTTATCTTTTCCTTAGTGCCTTCTCCTTTACCAAGTATAACATTAGACTTTCAGTCTCAGCAGATTGCCAACACTTTGGTTTGGAAGTATCTTTGGGATGATGTTTATCTTCTTGTTGTGTGACAGAGGACACCAGAGCTTCACTGATACCAAGCACTTTGGTTTCCCCAACCTCTTCCTTAGGCTTGCAGGCTTGGTTTGGAACAATTTCTAGGTCTTGCTTTCTTCCTACGACTGGTTTGTGCAACAAGACCACAGATAATCTGATTTATCTACACTCTTTTATTGCCCTTAGTGGTTACTTTTTTCCCCTGTGTCTTGGTCTTTTCTGATCTACACAACATTATTACCTGGCTCCTTGCTAGCCCTGTCAAAAATATCTCCCAAAGCTGTCAGCATCTCCACGTGATAGCTTAAAACCTGCATTGTGACATCTTTCAAACTGCAAACTCCAGCACCTCACTGCACACCATGGGGCAGGATGAAGGATGCTGGGGCTCTGCAGGAAACAAGGGACATTCTCCTATGGATGCTGATGGCTTCTGCCCCTGGTGGTACCCTGGTGATGGAGGCACTGGGCAAGGGCTGAAATCCGGCTGAAATCCCTCCCTGCTCTGCATGGAGCTGGATCCAAACTGGGACTCAGCTTTCACTTCTTTGGGATCAGTGCTTAAATCTTTCCTATGTCCATCATAGCAGGGAGGAGAGCCTCTGCCCTCCATGTGCTGCAGGGTGGCTACAGGGGCTGTGTGAGCAGTGAGAGGATTTGGGACCAGGACTGATGCAAAGCAAGGAGGGACCATATCCGTGCACATCCCCCTATGTCCATCACATCCCTACACATCCATACACATATCCCATGCCCTGGAGAACTGACTCAGTCCCATTCAGCTCCCACTGTCAGCCAGGCTGTGGCTGTGGGGCTGGTATTGAGCAGGGAGATGAGGAGGTGCGAGAGGCAGAGCTGACAGCAGGAGGAGGATGGAGGGGGCTCATCCGCAGCATTGCACCGTGTCCTGCAGCTCCTATGAATGGTTTTACTGCTGGAGAGAGAAGGAAAGGGGAGGATGTGGCTCTGGAAGGGGTTGGAACCCCAAATGATGCCCAGATTGTGGGGGTTTGCTCCCAGTGTGCACTGCCAGGGGATCCGGATGATCTCTGGTGGGAATCCGTGTGACATGCACTTTCCTTTCATGTTTGGCTGTAGAAGGAGGTTCTCCACAACCCCCATGAAGGCTTTAAGCTGCCCGAGGGGAGACTGAGCTGAGCTCTTAGGCAGAAGCTCTTCCCTGGGAGGGTGCTGAGGCGCTGGCACAGGGTGCCCAGAGAAGCTGTGGCTGCCCCATCCCTGGCAGTGCTCAAGGCCAGGTTGGACACAGGGGCTTGGAGCAAGCTGCTCCAGTGGAAGGGGTCCCTGCCTGTGGCAGGGGTTGGAGCTGGAGGAGCTTTAAGGTTCCTTCCAACACAAACCAGGCTGGGATTCTGTGATGGGCTTGGGAGCATCCATCAGAGTCACCAGCGACAGGGGCAACCCTAAAGCACCCTTCAGAAGGGCCCTTTTCCCCTGGTGCTGCCCATTTCAGTCCTTTACCACACTCCTCACTGTTCCTCCCCATCTCCTTCCTTTCACTTTCCGGCACTGCTCCCTCAGGCTCTCCTTTGTCTCGTGCTTCCAGCACGATGGGTGGAAGAAGGTGAACGTCATCATCGGGGAGAGCACAAGGACTGGGGCTGCCTCAGGCCCACTGAGGTTAACATCCAAATTCCCCAGGAAGGCCTCTCCAGGCAGAGGAAGGACAGGAGGGTGGCCATGAGCAGCCAGGACAGAGGTACCAAGGAAAAGTCACACCTGACCAGCCTGGTGCCTTGGGTGATGTGAGCATTGATGTTTGCATGGACAAGAAGCAGAGGACAGCATTTACCTCACCGTTAGCAAGGTCACCATGATCTTCTGTTGGCTCCTTTGCAGCCAAACTTGTGAGCTATGGTTTGAGTACAAGGAATTGAAGATGGGTGGAAAACTGGTTCATTGCCTGTGGTGCTGGGATTGCTGATGGACACTGATACCAGCTTCCCTGGTTCTGCTCCTCTCCCTGCCATGATAATGTCAACCATGGCCCTTGTGAAGCTGTAACTGCCTCAGAAATGCTCCAAAAGTGGATGTCAAAGCTGGGCTTGTTCTGTGCTTTGATCTAAGAGAGCCCAAAGCCCTGTTGCTTGCTCAAGCTGAGGTCATCTCCTCTGGGTACACTTCTCCTCTTCCAAACTAATCAATACAGAGAAGAGATAATGACCTGCTGTGGGCTTTGTCACCTCCTGGGGACCAAAGAGATTCACAGTCCCACATCCCCACATCACTTGAAATAGGAAGGGGGTTTGCTGATGCTGGTTCATTCCCAGGCTCCCTGCACAGCTCCAGGCACGTTCATCTTCACATCCATCTCCGGGAGCATGAGGAGGGCAGCAGAGACAGAGCTGAGATGTAAGTGAGGGGCAGCATCTTCCAGCCCATCTTTCTCCTGTGCTTCTCTCTTGCCAACAAGCAGCAGCTCCTGTCTTCATCTCCTGCCCTACTGCAGGGTCCTGGGCTTCTTGATGATGCTCTGGGCTTCCCAGGGAGCTGCTTGTGCTGTGTGCTCCCAGTGCTGCTGCTGAGAAGGCAGGTTTGGAGATCACCCTGGTGGAGAGCACCCTCAGGAGGCTTCCTCACCTCTGAGCACAGATGTTTCCTGGGTGAGCACCAGAAGCTTCCCTGTACAGGACATTCAGGGTGCTCCCCATTGCTGAGATG